AAAGGAAGACGTAAACCAGGAATCCTGGTTAGAAAAAAGGGGGCAATGGATCTTGTGCTCTTGTTAGTGAGTTGAAATGGACTGTTTTCAACTTCTAACAAATGGAGGATAAGGGGGACTTCAGACTTGACTTTAAAAAAAATATCTCTCACAAGAAGACAATAAGCTTCCAAAGGATGCACGGCTGAACGTGACTGGAACAAAGGCCAGGAAAATTAAAACGAGGATTATTAATACTTTTCGACGGACAGAAGCTTCGGCGCAGTCTGAAAAAAAATAAGAAGTTTAATAACTTTATTTGCCCGCTGACATTTTATCAGAGCGATAACTAGGTCCCAAAGTAAAATAACTGAAGCAGAAGAGGAAGAGAGAGAACGCTGATTATCCCATTTGGCTTCACATCAAAATCTTTCAAAGGGGCTGATATCCTTGGGTCCCCTTTCACACATGATGGATGTCTGTCTCTCCCCCCCCCCATTTAAGGCTTTAGGCAGGGAAAACCACTAAAAGGCGTGTTTAAGGGCAGCGTTTTGTAACTGGACTTCGTTAGTTATAACCCCCCGCTTGCAAATCGCATGTCGACACCGTGAAAAGTCTAGAACACGATCGGCCCAAAGGCAGAAACCAGTTTCATCCTAAAAGCAAATATGGCGTCGTTTAGGTAGGAAGGCGCCCAGCGAGTGGCATAAGGCAGCATCGGGATGCAAGCCCCGCCTCTATTCTACAGCCCGCAGGGGCGGAGCTTGGGCTTCCGTCCTTCGGGTTCCATAGCGGCAAGACCTGCCGGGGTGGCCAATCTTTATAAAAGATGGGGAGATGAGTTCCTTTAACGCAACACTGTCTTGTTTATTTGAACCGTAATGGGAAAGCTTTCTGAAACATCCCAATTAGCTTTGACACAAGGAGAACCGTGAATCGTAGGCAGGTGTGTCTGGGCAACCTCAATTTTTGTAGGTTTTTTAAAAAAATGTTCAATAACATAAAATAAGAAATCAAGTTCAGCCAATAGCTCCTTGGCTGAAGTTCCAGAAGGGTCCAAAAATAGTCTGAAACAGAATAACAAAGTTGGAAGGGACCCTGGAGGTCTTCTAGTCCAACCCCCTGCTCAAGAAGGAGACCCTATGCTATTCCTGACGAATGGCTGTCCAATCTCTACTTGAAAACCTCCAGGGATGGAGCACCCTCAACTTCTGAAGGCAAGCCAGATCCTGTTCCATTTCAGACAAAGAGGCAACCAGTGGAAATGAAAATCAACTATATCCCTTCTTCTGGCTCAGAACTTGATTATCGTAACGATTCCCACATTGTATAGTCCTCCCTTAGGCATACTCAACCCTTATTCCTTTGTAGGCCACGAGGGAAATCATTTTTATCACCTAGAACAGGGGTTAGGTAACCTTGGCTATTTATGACTCGTGGACTTCAACTCCCAGAATTCCCCAGCCAGCGTGGCTCAGCTTGGAAACCTCTCCCTTTCCCCTCAGCACGGCTGGCTCAGGAATTCTGGGAGTTGAAGTCCACGAGTCATAAAAGAGCCAAGGTTGCCTACCCCTGATCTAGAATCTAGTTAAGATTGAACGGCTCTTAGGGCCACCTAATCTAGGAATATTGCAATCTCATGTATGAAGACAAAATGAATGACTTATCCCGCATGTTAATTCCACAAATTCTATTTAGCTAATTTACAGCTACTTAGATATAAAGATACGGGTACATTTTCTCCTATTCTACAAACTGAAGGATCATCAAGGAGATGGTTTCTAAAATCAGCAATGGAATATAGCAGCAAGACAGAATTGAAGAGAATTCTAGTTTAATCATCGTTAAGCCACATTGTCCCAAATATCTTACCTCACGTGTAGGGATTATCTAAACTTAATTAGGATGCACTCCTTCATATCTTAACACCAACAGTTGGTTTTCTGCTCTGCTGCTAAATCAAACTCTCCAGCCAGGATTAAACCTTGTTGCCTGCTTCAGAAGCCAGGTTTTAAAACTGCCCTAAGTAGCTTCCTTCTGACATGTGGGATCAAGTGGAGGAACTGAGTTGTGGGATTGTAATATCAACCGTTGAACCACGATTGCTATTTACTTAAAAAAAAAAAAAAAGGCCCCTATTCCTACTTTAAATTTTGACGTGCTACTGGCACATTTATGATTATTTTTAAACCTCGTGTTATTATTATGACTTATTTGATTAGCCATAGTTAATAGGGAATAACATCATTTAAGTAGTGTATGATTATTATCGAATTCTTAATTATACGATACAGGTGACACGCTTTACATCTTACATGGATATGATCTTTCATTTATCCTTGGATATAACTGGACTGAACTTTAATCCACAAAATGGAAGAAAATTTAAGACACTCTTTTAATCTTTAATTAGTCCTCTCCTAATTAACGACCCCCAAATTACTTTTTAAAACACTTTTAGTGAAGAAAGTTTTATGATTTCTTCCCCACTTGGGAGAGCTTAAAACGGACGGTTATAATATGATAGTTACACCGTCTTCTTACTTTTTCTGTAATCCATATATCTAGGGGAGCGTTATTTCCTTTTTTTAAAAAAAAATAGTGAAATAATTTATTTATTTTCACTGGGTCTACGATGGATGGAAACACCTTTGCTTTGCTCTCGGCCACCTCTCAAGAATCACTGCTTTTATTGTGAGAGACTGTTCATCACAAGTCCTGAAATGAAATCCTTAATACTGACTCACAGCTATCCTTAACCCTCCTTGTGCAATTGCCCAAAACCTGATAAATTTTGCAAATGAATTGCTTCTGATTTGGCTTTTTTAGGAGGGAGAATGGTGATGGATTAGTTTCAAAAATTAGTAAGGCTTCTTCTTCTAGGTTTGACATAAGTCAATGATTAACAGGTCTCTCCCCTGAAAAAATAATCACCCCTTTTTATGATGTTACTGTTGTGAGTCCCACATTTTGTGAATCCTGGAAGAACGTCTGCCCTTAAGCGAAAGACAGTAGGGGTCCTACAAGGCCTCCGTAGGTTTAGCAAATGCCTTTCGTTCTGCCAAAAATAGGTCACCCCAAATAAAATCTGAAAACTCAAAGACTTGATGGCCAAGTTGAACTGCAAGGATCTGATGACAATATCATCTAGAAGAAAGAATAGTATCTTTCTTCTTAAGAACAACGGAAGCCATCACATTCCAGTTCATCCTTCTCCATTCCCTTGCTATTCTAAATTGAATCCTGTGCTAATTCAAAGCCAAACTCTTTGCTTAGAATTAAGCTCTGATCAGGTTCTCGCATTGCCTTTTGAGATTTACAGGGTAGGAAAAAAAATAAATACGAATTTCTGACCATCCAGACCAGGAAGACACCCAAGATGAAGCAAAATCTTCTCTACGGGCCTGGTGGAAGCCCAGAGCCTTGATATGCCACAGACCACAAATCGTTTAAAAGGTTGTAATCCTAGGATCTCCGCTTTCCTTGTGGAAAAGCAACAGAGATGGAAAGAATGATTTATAAAGATAGGCGCATCCACAGGAAGTGAGCCACGGAGGAAGCTGCTTTTTCTCCTCACACAATGCCAGTTATCTTTTTTTAGGAGGAGTATTAGCATTAAAATAAGTTACAATTTTCTCCAAAAGGAGGAATTAGCATTAAAATAAGTTACAATTTTCCCCCTCCTTCTGTTTTACTCTTAAGAGATGGCGGTGACCTTTGTACCAAATCTGGAGGTCCACCTAACTGCTTTTATGAATCATCTGGTTTCTGACTTATTGTTCTTTTCGAGCATCTATATATTTTTTCCCTCAAGCTGGTCAACTAAGATGGCGTCTCATCCCTCGAAGTTTCAAGGACCTCAGCAGCGTCCAGAACAGGAATGCTTCTATCACCTCAGAGAGTAACTTCCGCTCCGCAAGATCTTTCCCTCTGGATAATTCTTCTCGGCGATCGCTTTCTGACTAACTGATAAAAGAGGATGTGGGATTTTTATTTCTATTTCCCTCCCCCCACAAATGACATGGTTTAAAACAGGGAACCGTTGTTGTTTTTTTCCACACAGGCAAGTAGGAAGGAGAAGCGGACCAGAGACAGACCAGCGATGGTCACTTAGAGCAGCTCCTTCAGGATCCCTCAACCGAGGCTTTAGAACGATCTAACCGATCGGCGGCCGAAATTCATTCCACGTCAGAGGCGTCGTTGTCAGAGAGATGATAATTGCTTCCCTTCACCCGGATATACTCAATATATCTCCCGTCCTCCGATTCGGGAATGCCACATGTACATAGCGAGGTCTCAAACAAGCATTCGATTTCCTCTAGTTTTTTGCCTTTGGTCTCCGGAAGACAGCCGTAGAGAAAAAGGAGGCCCACGAACGCAAATCCAGCATAAAGAAAGAAAGCTCCTGCAGTTCAAAAAAGCAAAAACACGCCACCCCACACAAGGTTAATATATAGTTGTTGTTTTTTGTTTTTTAAAAAGGAAGTTTCTGAGGCAGTGGTTCTCAACCTGTGGTCCGGGGATTCCCTGGGGGGGGCACAATGTTGTCACATGGGGGTCCGTAAAAGCTTGAAATAAAATGTTATGATTTAAATCTTGAGTTAAGTCTTCGGGGGGAGGTCCCCCCACCCATGGTCCGTGGCCACAAAAGGTTTTTTAAAGGGGGTCCGTCGTGAAGAAAAGATGGAGAACCACTAATCTAAGGCTTCTCTTAAAATCCATATTTCAAAAATATTACACAGGTTTCATTCAAAACATTATATAAAGGACACGCCTACAAACCTAATATTCCCTCCCTCCCTTCCTTCCTTCCTTCCCCTCTCTGTCCTTCCCTCCCTCCCTCCGTCTCTCTCTCTCCTTCCTTCCTCCCTCCCTCCCCTAACTGTCCTTCCTTCCTTCTCTCCTTCCTTTCTTTCTTCCCCTGTCCTTCCCTCCCTCCCTCTCCTTCCTTCCTTCCTTCCTCCCTCCTTCTCTCTCCCTCCCTTCCTTCCCTCCCTCCTTCCCCTCACTGTCCTTCCTTCCTTCCCTCCCTCCCCAATTGTCCTGCTTCCTCTTGGCCATTATATTGATCTTCCTTCCTTCCTTCCTTCCTTCCTTCCTTCCTTCCTTCCTTCCTTCCTTCCTTCCTTCCTTCCTTCCTTCCTTCCTTCCTTACTTAAATTTCTACAGCCACCCAACTCAGTCAATGATTCTAGGCCACTTACAATTAAATATATATATATACAGGTAGTCCTTGACTTATGACCACAATTGATCCATTGCTAAGCGAAACGTAAGTTAAGTTGAGTCTTGCCCCATTTTATGACCTTTTGGCCACAGGTCTTGAGAGAATCACTGCAGCCGTTAAGTTAGTAATATGGCTGTTAAGTGAATCTGCCTTCCCTGTTGACTTTGATTGTCAGGAGGTTGCAAAAGGGGATCACGTGACCCTGGGACACGGCAACCGTCGTAAGTAGGAGTCAGTTGCCAAGTGTCTGAATTTTGATCATTTGACCACGGGGATGCTGCAACGGTGGTAAGTGTGAAAAATGATCATGAGTCACTTTTTTAGCGCCGTTGTAACTTTGAACAGTCACTAAATGAGAGGTTGTAAGTCAAGGACTACCTTTAATGTCAGTGGCCACAACATATGCTATGAACAGTGTGTCTCCTTCCAAGTCTGAAGCTGTGCACAACACACATCTTAATCCAGGGGTCTTCAAACTTGGCCCTTTTATGACTTGTGGACTTCAACTCCCAGAATGCCTCAGCCAGCATGCCTGGCTGAGGAATTCTGGGAGTTGAAGTCCACAAGTCACGAAAGAACCAAGTTTGAAGACCCCTGCTTGTGGACTTCAACTCCCAGAATTCCTCAGCCAGGCACGCTGGCTGAGGAATTCTGGGAGTTGAAATCCACAAGTCATAAAAGGGCCAAGTTTGAAGACCCCTATCTTAATCTATATCTCTAATTATAGCTCCCATCAAGTCCACCTATCAAGGGGAGAACTTAAGTTGCCAAGCAAAATCATTAAAAAATGAAAAAACTAAAACCTCCAACGATCCGAAATTAAATTGTTCTGGGTCTTGTTTGAAGAGGGGAAAAAAATTCCTTACCATAATAGGTCAGATATTCAGCTGTGTGCAAGAAGGTGAGTGACACCAGAACGTTGAAAATCCAGTTGACACCAGAAGAGCACGCGTTTCCCGTACTTCTCGCCCAAAGGGGGTAAATTTCGGAATTGATTGTCCACGGCATCGGTCCCATTCCTTGTGACATGTAATTGAAAATAACCAATCAGTAACTTTCACTGGGCATTCTCAAACGATTACGATCGACAAAGATGGAAAAGTTAGAAATGATTAACAATGGTGGAAGACAAGCTGAATAGTAGTTCAGTGACATGAAGAACATTCATCCTAGTACAGGTGACCCTTGACTTGCAACCGCAATTGAGTCCAAAGTGTTCATTGCTAAGCAAAGCAGTTGTTAAATAAGTCATGACCCATTTTACGGCCGTTTTTGCCATGGTTTTATTGGGGGGGGAATGTATTTATGTTTTGTTTTAAATGTGTTGTGCGCCGCCCTGAGTCCCGTTGGGAGAAGGGCGGCATATAAATTAAATTAAATAAATAAATAAATAAATAAATAAAATAAATGGTTGTTAAGCCATGGCAAATCACTAGTTGTTAACAGAATCCAGCTTCCCCCCTAGCTATTATGTCTATCGTTGTGTTCAAAGGAAGATTCTCAGTCTATAGGAAAGTGTACATGGTTTTTTTTTCTTCGTTCGTTCATTTTTATCCACCCTGGAATTGATTACACCCACAGTTTGAGAGCAGAATTTCTTCCCTTACCCTATAAAACAGGGGTCTTCAAACTTGGCCCTTTTATGACTTGTGGACTTCAACTCCCAGAGTTCCTCAGCCAGTCAAGCTGGCTGAGGAATTCTGGGAGTTGAAGTCCACAAGTCATAAAAGGGCCAAGTTTGAAGACCCTTCCCAGAATTCCTCAGCCAGGCCCGCTGGCTGAGGAATTCTGGGAGTTGAAATCCACGAGTCATAAAAGGGCCAAGTTTGAAGACCCCTCCCATAATTCCTCAGCCAGGCCCGCTGGCTGAGGAATTCTGGGAGCTGAAGTCCACAAGTCATAAAAGGGCCAAGTTTGAAGACCCCTCCCCGAATTCCTCAGCCAGGCCCGCTGGCTGAGGAATTCTGGGAGTTGAAGTCCACAAGTCATAAAAGGGCCAAGTGTGAAGACCCCTCCCAGAATTCCTCAGCCAGGCCCGCTGGCTGAGGAATTCTGGGAGTTGAAGTCCACAAGTCATAAAAGGGCCAAGTTTGAAGACCCCTACTATAAAATAACAAAGTGAAATGGTCAAGGAGATAGTGTATTCAAACAAAGGCAAGGCAACCAGTGCTTCCAATTTTATTTTCACAGTGAAAAGTGAAAATGCAGACGCCTAAGATTTTGACCAGGGTTACTTGGGTTTTCCCGGTGGATAACAGCCAATTTCTTTTCGTCAAAGAAAAGTACTCTAAGTTCATCAAATGTGTTTACCTGGTGCAAAGAAAACCAGGTACAATATGAGTCCCAACAGTGCGGTCCATGAATACGGTGTTGGACAGAAGTTATAAGCCCAAAATATGCCTTCCGTTTTGAGTTTGGTTTCATTGGAGCACCTGCAAGAAGGAAGGAAGGAAGGAAGGAAGGAAGGAAGGAAGGAAGGAAGGAAGAAGGGAGGGAGGAAGGAAGGAAGGGAGGGAGGGAGGAAGGAAGGAAGGAAGGAAGAAAGAAGGAAGGAAGGAAGGAAGAAGGGAGGAAGGAAGAAGGAAGGAAGGAAGGAAGGAAGGAAGGAAGGAAGGAAGAAAGAAAGAAAGAAAGAAAGGCATTTGAAGATAAATGCAATGCTTATTTGCAAGAACACAATGTTATAACACAATGTTAACTCATAATCAATAGAGCCTAACTCTTCTCCTGAGAGAAATTGAGTAGCTTCTGCTTAAAAGTAGATAATGGATCACTGGGCATGTTCAGTGTAAAATCTTTGGAACAATATCAGAAATATACTTTATTGTGAAATTACTCAGGCAGTTCAAAATAATATTCCCACTGCTTGATTCCAAATGCAATTATGTTGTTTTCAAAGTGATGTTTATTTCCTTTCTCAATAGTAGGGAGACATCCCTGACTTCTGCAACCTATTTAAATTGATGAACCTAAGGCAAATGTAAATTCTTCTGAGATCTACAATTTGGGATAGTAACTCTCCCAATACCTAAGTGGCTGCCACAGAGAAGGGAGGAGGGAGTCAACAAGTTCTCCAAAGCTCCTGAAGGCAGGACAAGAAGCAACGGATGGAAACTAACCAAGGAGAGAAGCAACCTAGAACCAAGGAGGAATTTCCTGATAGTTAGAACAATTAATCAGTGGAACAACCTGCCTCCAGAAGTTGTGGATGCTCCATCGCTGAAAGTTTTTAAGAAGAGATTGGACAACCATTTGTCTGAGGTGGTATAAGGTCTCCTGCTTGAGCAGAGAAGACCTCCAAGGTCCCTTCCAACTCTTGTTATTCTGTTATCTAGAATAACGTTCTGCATGTAAATACGGAGATTTTTCAGAATGTTATTATAGTAGAACGTTATTAATATACTTCCAAAAGGTCTAAAAATGTCACGATCCGTTTTTCTTATGACACTGGATCTTTGGAGAAAATTACATTTCCTAAGAACTTAGGAGAACCAAGGAGGACACGAGATAAACCAAAACAGCAAAACGAGGGCTATAAGGCTACGAGCAAAATAAATAGCTCAATTCTGCTTCTGTCTGAGGGGAAGCACAATACCAGCGGATGAGCATTGCCTTGGCTCTTGTGTGGAAACATCTGGAAAAGAACACGAGAACTGGGAAATGCTGAAACTTAAAAGAGCTCAATCGGAACAATAATAGAATAACAGAATAAAAGAATTGGAAGGGACCTTGGAGGTCTTCCAATCCAACCGCCTGCCTAGGCAGGAAACCCTAGACCATTTCAGACAAAATGGCTATCCAATCTTCCTAAAAATCTCAGTTTTGCACTGTCTAAAACTAAGAGCATCTAGGCAATAAGTGCCTTTATCTTGAAGAATTTGTTGTTAATTGCGAAGTCGTGTCCGACCCATCGCGACCCCATGGACGACGTTCCTCCAGGCCTTCCTGTCCTCTACCATCTTCTGGAGTCCATTTAAGTTCACGCCTGCTGCTTCAGTGACTCCATCCAACCCCCTCCTTCTCTGTCGTCCCCTTCTTCTCTTGCCCTCCATCTTTCCCAGCATCAGGCTCTTCTCCAGTGAGTCCTTCCTTCTCATTAGGTGGCCAAAGTACTTGAGTTTCAACTTCAGGATCTTGAAGAATAGCACCGTGCTAAATAAATGGCTCCCACAAGTATAATTCCAGTCCCACTACTGGAGTATAGCACAGCTGTGCTTCTAATAGGATCTCAAATCAAATGTCCGAAAAAATGCTTTGAAGCATAGTACAGACCCATGAATATTTGCCTTCCCACATGAGTGTTTTGTCAAGTTATTTATTTTGTTGTTTTTAAACTTATCCACTTCCTTGGTAAGAGGGAAAAGAATGGATGGATGGATGGATGTTTGTATGCATGCTTTTATGAACTGAACAAAAAACACTGCACCACATTACAATCCCAAATCTACACCATCAAAATTATTGGAAAATTTGGCTGAAGAATTCTGGGAGTTGAAGTCCACAAATCATAAAAGGGCCAAGTTTGAAGACCCCTGCTCTAAAGCACCAGAAGGCAGGACAAGGAGCAATGAACGGAAACTAATCAAGGAAAGAAGCAATCTGGAATTAAGGAGAAATTTCCTAACGGTGAGAACAATTAATCAGTGGAATGGCTTGCCTTTAGACTTTAGAGGTTGTGGGTACTCCATCGCTGGAGGTTTTTAAGAAAAGATTGGACAGCCATTTGTTTGAAATTGTATAGGGTTTCCTTCCTGAGCAGGGGGCTGGACTAGAAGACCTCCAAGGTCCCTTCCAACTCTGTTATTCTATTATTCTTCTGCCATTGATGGCTATATCTTATAGCCATTTCTGCAAACTGCCACCATTCAAAACACCCAGTTTCTTCCTAGATCACCGTGGCTAGCTAGCCAAATCCTTGCCTTGACATCAGTTTAAAGCACGGACAATAGGACAGCAACTTCGCGGCATATGAGTTAATTTCAGTATATATATTTTTTTAGAATTTTCTTTTCTTTTTTGCAGGTGCGCAGCGATGAATACAGGCTGATTATCCCTGCTGAAGTGTCTTGAAGGAAGCAAACAATACTATAATTGGGGTAGTCCATTTCAGAAAGTGGCAGCAGCTGCCCACTCATTTAATGTCTTCTTGTCAATGTAGCAGGGAAAAGATTCTACTTGGTTTATCATCTCGCCGTCCGCCGGGATCAATGCACGGAACAGCTGACGTTCTGAACTAAGAAAATATTCCTCATTAAAATGGACAGAAGGTGCAAAAGGCAATCACCAAGTAAGCTCAAAACCCGTGACAATGCCGGGCTGACACACAAAAAAGAGGGGGTCCAGCTATTCTCCAAAGCACCTAGAGGCAGAACAAGAAGCAACGGATGGAAATTAATCCAGGAGAGAAGCAATCTGGAACGAAGGAGAAACTTCCTGACAATAAGAAAAAATAAGCAGCGGAACGGCTTTTCTCCCGAAATTGTGGTATTTAAGAAGAGGTTGGGCGGTCGTTTGTCTGGAGTGGTACAGGGTCTCCTGCCTGAGCAGGGGGTTGGACTAGAAGACCTCCAAGGTCCCTTCCATCTCTGCCATTCTATTATTCTTCTGCCAAAATACCTGAAGGCAGAACAAGCAACGGATGGAAATTGATCAAGGAGAGAAGCAATCTGGAACTAAGGAGAAACTTCCCGACAATAAGAAAAAATAAGCAGTGGAATGGCTTTTCTCCCAAAATTGTGGTATTTAAGAAGAGGTTGGGCGGTTGTTTGCCTGGAGTGATATAGTGTCTCCTGCCTGAGCAGGGGGCTGGACCAGAAGACCTCCAAGGTCCCTTCCAACTCTGCTATTCTGTTATTCTTCTGCCAAAGCACCTGAAGACACAAGAAGTAATGGATGGATGGGAAACTTATCAAAAGAGAGAAGCAACCTAGAACTAAGGAGACATTTCCTGACAGCGAGAACAATCAACCAGTGGAACGGCTTGCTTCCAGAAGTTGTGGAGTTTTTAAAGAAGAGACTGGACAGCCGTTTCTCTGAAATGGGTTGAACCAGAAGACCTCCCCAGATCCTTCCCAACTCTGTTATTCTATTATTTCATTAACTGGGGAAAAATTCTGCATGTTTAATGAAGACAAGTATGAGGGGTGAAACGATAGCAGTGTTCCAATATCTCAGGGGTTGCCCCAAAGAAGAGAGAGTCAAGCTATTCTCCAAAGCACCTGAAGGCAGGACAAGAAGCAACAGGTGAAAACTCATCAAGGGGAGAAGAAACCTAGAACTAAGGAGAAACTTCCTGACAGGTAGAACAATTAACCAGTGGAACAACCTGCCTCTGGAAGTTGTGAATGCTTCAACACTGGAAGTTTTTAAGAAGAGATTGGACAATCATTTGTCTGAAATGGTATAGGGTGTCCTGCCTGAGCAGGGGATTGGACTAGAAGACCTCCAAGGTCCCTTCCAACATTATTATTATTATTATTATTATTATTATTGATGATGATGATGATGATGATGATGATGATGAAAACATGGAGATTTTGCAGAACCTTATTATATGCAGAGTCTTCTACTTGAGCGGTTGGACCAGTAGACCTCCATGGTCCCTTCCAACTCAGTTTACTCTGTTACTCTGCTTTTCTGAACACAGGGCTAGCACCGATATTTTTCCACTCTATTATGTTTGGCACTTGAAGAGTTAATATTAATGTTTGCGTATAAAGATGATTCCCCCCTCCCTTAAGCTCTGAAAGAGGCAGCATCATTTGAATAAGGTCCCGTGTTGGTATAATGTCAATCGTTGGATGATGTCGAGGGCCGCGCATTGGGTTTCCAAACCAGATGCACCGCAGAGGTAGCAGCGCCAGGCAAGCTGGGAAATAATTGGGACAGAGAATAAAATCTATATCACAGTGTTAAATACTGGTGTAGTGGGATGCGCTGTCACTAGAAAAGGAAAAAAAACCCATCTGCAGAAGCTGGGATGGTTTCTGAGAGAGCTCAGAGGCACATCCGAATAGAAAGGTGTTTGTACAATCCCACATTAATATTCCTTTGAAGCCCAGACCTCGGTGTACCCAACACTTTTATTTAAATTGAAACTTTATTCAGGTCACTAATATAAATTGGGGCTGGGAGCAGCTTGGAAGGGAACAAAATGATGCATTTATTTCTATCGCCTCTCTAAGCAGATAGAAGATGGACGGTATTTAATATTTATTGTTATGTATGTGTAGGGGTGTGGGTCTATACCAGGGGTGGGGAACCTTGGCTCTTTTATGACTCGTGGACTTCAACTCCCAGAATTCCTGAGCCAGCATGGCTCAGCTTGGAAACCTCTCCCTTTCCCCTCAGCATGGCTGGCTCAGGAATTCTGGGAGTTGAAGTCCACCAGTCATAAAAGAGCCAAGGTTGCCTAACCCTGGTCTATACATAT